AAAAATTTTTGAAAAGATCCTCCTGAAAAGAATCCTACCCATAATAGACTCCCGTAAAATCCCTACCCATCAATTCGGATTCCGCTCCCAACATTCTACCGTCCAACAAGGACTCCGAGTTGTTGACCACATATCCTCAGCCCTTGAAAACAAGCAGTTTTGCTCGAGTGCATTTTTGGACATAGCGCAAGCTTTTGACCGGGTGTGGCACGCCGGACTGCTCTTCAAGCTCAAATCCCATTTACCACAGTCCTTATACCTAATACTCCAATCCTACCTCTCCGACCGCTCCTTTCGAGTTCGCTGTGGTACAGAATTTTCCGACTGTTATTCAATTGAGGCTGGAGTTCCTCAAGGCAGCGTCTTGGGTCCCATCCTTTACATCATCTATACCGCTGACATTCCCGTCCATCCCGATACACTCCTGGCAACTTTCGCTGATGACACTGCGATCCTATCTTCTAACTCAGATCCTGAAATAGCGTCCGGAAACCTGCAACGGCACCTATCCTTGATTGAACACTGGTGCAAGAAATGGCGCATCAAAGTCAATGAATCCAAATGTAAACATATAACCTTCACCCTTCGTCGTAATTCTTGTCCACCAGTTTACTTTAATACCATCCAGCTTCCCTTCTGCGACACAGTCCGGTACCTTGGTTTTCTCCTAGACAGACGACTAACGTGGAATCCGCATACTAGACTGAAAAGACAGGAACTTAACCGACGTTATGGCCAGCTATATAGACTACTTAATAGAAAATCTAAACTTTCTATTGAAAACAAACTACTGATCTACAAGACAATATTAAAACCCATGTGGACCTACGGACTAGAACTGTGGGGGACAACCAAATTTTCTAACATCAAACGCATTCAATCCTTCCAGTCCAAAGTCCTCCGTACAATAGTCGATGCTCCCTTCTATGTCTCTAATAAAACCCTGCACAATGACCTTAATATTCCATTTATTCTTGATCTTATCCCAGACAAATTCTCCAAATTTCATCAGAACCTTACCCATCACCCTAATCCCGTAGCACAATCCCTATCTATCACCACTCATCCCTACAATCCTCCTCGCAGGCTGAAACGGCAGTGGCCCCGTGACCTTTTGTAAAATGTATATACTGGAGTTCTGGCAATGGCCAGATTCTCCTCACAAGTCATGAGTGTCCGTGGTTGTAGCGCCCTTACTCAATCTCCGCTGGCTTTCAATGCCAGTGGAATGGTTGAGCAAGAAGCGCAGGGTTCTCCTGAAGCCTTGCTTTCCCTCCACATGTGGGGGGATAAGTATGGTTCGTAGTTCCTATGGCCGACTGTAAATAGTGTAATAGGTATGCCTGCGTCTAAGATGTTTATTTTCATTACTTTTTTTTTTCTTTTTCTCACTATGATATTTTATTTTGTTCTTTTGTAGCTTTATATTATTTGAAGTTAGCTTATTTCTTTTATTTATTTATTTTTTTTTTAATTTGTAAATATGGTGTGAATGTGCTCTCAGAACTCTATTATAAATGTCCTTTATTGAGACAGATTGTAATATTTATCAATAAAAAAAAAAAAAGTCAAAGTTCTTGGCCGTGATACGTGATACTATTGAAGCATTCATTGTTGTGTATTAAAGCTTTCCGAAGGATTGCTCCAAGCTACACGCCCCACCCATCATTACTTCCTTGCATTCATATTATGAGATATTAATTGACTAATCTGTGAGCAGTTATTTATTTGTTCAAAATCGCTTCGAGTATAGTCTGAAGAATTTCCATCACAAATATTTCAATATCTCTTTCTAGGGTACTGACAAGAGTACAGATCTCGCAGTCATATATCAGAACTGGTTTTTATATGTCAAAAGTGACGAACACTAAAAAACATGTGACAAACACTTATAGGGACTTAGTAATTAACACATCACAAGATAACAGAAACAGTCAATAGAAGGTTGAAAAGGAGATGGATGATCCTATCGTGGAACATTTCCCTACTATCAGCCAACAAATCCAATAGTTGTCTATATTTTTTTCAGGCATGAGTAAATAAATAAAAAGTTAGTTCGATGAACCTAACATAGTATTTAAAAAACGTATGCCAAGTAAGGTCAGTATAGCTTCCTCACCGTATGCATTGACTAAAAAATGTCTATATTACAATATCTAAAATTTTTTGCGTGAGAATAAAATCTCTGGAAGAGGCCGTACGGGTTTCCAAGCTCAACATGTAAGGGTTTGATATCCACGAGTTTTGTAGATCAGCGAATACTGAAATGCGAAGAAGATCAGCATAAGTAGGTTACATATTTGCTGATTCAGGATTAAAAAAAAATCGAGTATGTACTGAACATGAATATCACTACTGTTAGTGTAAAAGGTCGTACGTAAACATCGAGTGTTTTACAGGAAAGCATAAAAACTAATTGTTTCTTTATGATTTATTAGTATAATTTCATAATTTATTGTCCTCTGCTATTTTTCATCGCAACAGAATACAAAATGTCACCTAAGCACAAATAGAATTCAAAGTTGAAAATTTTTGCATACGTCCTTTTGCACTAACAATAGCAATATGTACTTAGTCGGCATGTTTTCACTCCAAAAATGGATGTTACGAAACATCCATAAGAAAAACTAAACTTTTTTTTTTATCAGAGTTAACGAAACCAATACTTTTCTTCAGTTAGAACAAAACTATTTAAGCTGGGATTTAAAAATATATGTGAAAATCACACAGAAAGTCGATACCACGACGAGCTAGTTGAACTTCAATAGAAATAAACCTAATCATAAATAAGATTATTCTTTTTTTTATAAACAGAGTAAAAATTAATTTAAATTTATTGAAAATTACACGAAATCTAAGTAAATGCAGTATTTATCATGCCAGTAACGTCTGGAATCGGCGAATAAATACAGTATAAATTAACTCTTAGAATAAAATCTAAAATTCCTCCAAGTTTGGGTCAAATTGAACACGCAGTTTTCAAACCATAGGCAAATAACACGTTTACTGATCCGAAAGCAAAATTATTTTTTTTTAGGAGTAGTGAATAGAATTTGATAAAATTCATACCTACTTGATTATCTGCTTACTAATCCCTAACTTTCCTCCAAATTTGAGCCAAATCAAACCTGCGGTTTTAGAGATATCGACGTATCAAGAGAACACGTTTGCGCATATATAAGAAAAGTTAGTGGACAGAATTCAATAAAATTGACATGACGTTATTTTTTCACCATTACCGACCTTTTATCCAACTTTTAGCCAAATTGAACGAACCCTTCTTGAAATATTGGCATATCTAAAAAAGTACGTTTGCGGGTGCGTAAGCGGAAGTGCAGGATGGAATTTGATAAAATTGATATGGAATCATCTAGGCACTAACCTGCACAATCTCTGAAAATTTCTTGAAAATCGGATGAAAGGTGATATGCCCGTCACATCAATTTGACTACAGACAGACAGACGTACAGACACCGAACCAAATTTGAACCTTGATGTCTGAGACGTAAAACGCGAGTAAAAATTTTTAATTCTGAGCACAAATTTTTTTTTAACCTCCCGCACGAACACAATGTTTCCCTACCTTCGGTAGTGAGGAAGAAAAATAAATAAATGTAACTTGGGTTGAAATAGATATTTAAAGATATTCGAACAAGTTTCTCATTAAAGCAGAGAGAGCTATTGGCTGGTATAGAAACTTTTCAAGTCAAAGGAGTAGGACACATTTGAAAAGGGAAACTAACAAAAACAATTAAACAATGGGCAATAACACTACACACAACGAGTAATTAGCAAGAGGCGACACAAAAAGGTTAAGACAAACAAGTCCTTCTTTTTATAAAAAAAAAACGAGAAAAATAAAAAATACATGAAAAGAAAACAAGAAAGAGACCCATTAATTAGAGTGCCATTAAGAGTAAGGGTTAAAGAGCTCCATTGGGCTGGTGTCGCCATTTTCTTTTATATTCTAAGGGCTTAACTGTCGGCAAACATCGATGCCTCTCTAATGAGTTCTTTTCGTTCTATATGTTTGTTATCATTTCATAAAATATTTAACAGGTAATCACACATAATTCAGCGAAATAACTGTCAACATAATGAATATATCTGTGCCCCGGAGATAAAGGACACCATGCCCATTTTTTTATTAAATAATTTAGTAACTAAGAAATAATTTATAATTGCTCAAAGTTATGGAACATTGTCTCCCCTCAACAAATACAAAGGTAGACATGGTGTTATTTACTTCAGCGGTACAGATTTATAAAAGGCAAACCACACAGAATCGGTTTTGCATGTTTCATCCATCAACAACTGATCAATTGTCCCCCGTCCTTACTCCCTGGCTAGGGAAATCCATATATAGCCAGTATAGCCTAAAGAAGGGGTGGTGCTAATCTTTGCTAATTCTTAATCAAATGCAAGCATTGAACAATCATTTCCAAGAACATCCCAGAAAAGTTATGAAATGAGTTTGAAGAAAAAAACATTTCATTTGCTCTTTATTCAAAAAGTATACAATTAGTAGTATATTATACCAATGATACTTTGAAAAAGTGCTAAGCTCTACATAATACGTACGTTTGCTCATATTTAAGAGATTGTAGTGGATGGAGATTCAATGTAATTGGTACAGCATCATTTTTTTACGTATGCATTTACGTTAATGCATTGGTAAAATGAATCATAGTTCTTTCTAATGGTATTGATCAATGATTCAGTTGAATATGTAAAAAGGTTGTCGTAATAAAGTATCTATTTTTAATTTATCACAATCTCAAGTCCTTGAACATCACATAATTCAGTTTTACTAAGGAATGGGAGACTAATTTATTCATTATTTGATTTTTTTTTCATAGTCTTAGTTGTTTCTTCTTTCCTCAAGGAACCATTTTGAAATTCAATAAAATTTAAAGAATACATTAATCTTGTATTATAAAATATCCTCTAATATATTCACCGACGGTTTAATTTGATCCAGATGTTATTTTTGTACATATGTTACAATAAAAAAATGCTAGGAAAAATTTTAATTTTTACTAATGCAATATGTAAAATAAAAAAAAAATTAAAAATTCTTTTCAATAAATATAATTTTTATAATTAAACGCAATATGAATATTTTACTAGAAGGATTGAGAAAGATTAAAGAAAATGACAAATGCCCTTCTTTGGTTACGAATGAAAGCCACATGTTTTCCGACTATTATTATAAATGGAAATACGGTCAAATTTCCAAAGTTGGATCTTGTTACAGAGCCATACCTAAGTTCTATGTTGAGGTTACCGAAGCAGACCAACATGGGGATACTTTTCCGTCAAAACTGGAACTCGAAGCAAGAACCATGTTTTTACAGAGGATAAGCGACGCATTGCTAGACAACGAAGAGTTAGAATTCCTTAGAGCACTCCTCAGTAAATACAGTTTAGGGAACAACGTGAGTGAGAAGAAAATAGGTTATTATGAACTTAAGGAAGTCATCTCAAAGGCCAGTAGTAAGTGTAAAAATTACTATTCGGCAAAAATTTTCGCTCAGTTGCAGACTGGTGTATTTATGAATGATGTTGATATTGTTTCTCTGTTTACATATGTCATGAGAAAGACATGGCAGAAAAAGACGAGGATTGGTCTTTCAGTCTACGACACCTTTGGAAAAGGTTATCTTAAGGAGTCAGAATTGGAGAGCTTCGTGAACGACATTATACCGGATTGTCCTCAACTAAACGGTCTCAAGGAGGCCTTCCATCCGTTTTACGTCTGCACTGTCGTTAGGAAGTTCATGTTTTTTCTTGATCCAATGCGAACTGGTAGGATACGACTCAAGGATATCCTTCTGAGTAGTTTCTTGGACGAATTCTTAGTCTTGAGAAACGAGGAGTTACCAGACAAATCTGAAGAATTCAACTGGTTTTCTGCTGTATCGACCCTTCAAATATATGGCCAATACCTCACATTGGACAAAGATAACAATGGCATGTTAAGTAAGAAAGAACTCGCCTCATACGGCACTGCCACCCTGACAGAAATATTTATTGAAAGAGTTTTTCAAGAATTCCTTACTTACGATGGTGAAATGGATTATAAATCATATTTGGATTTCGTACTAGCTCTGGAGAACAAGCAAGAATATCAATCGCTTCGGTACTACTTCACAGTCCTCGATATAAATCAGAATAGGTACTTGGACGCATTTTCTATGAAGTACTTCTTCAGAGGAATCCAGGAGGAGATGAAGAAGCACCATCAGGAGCCCGTTAGCTTCGATGACATCAAAGACGAACTGTTCGATATGGTTCGGCCAGCAGATCCTATGAAGATAACTTTCAACGACCTTCTTAATAGCCAAAGTGCTGAATATTTTGTCAGTATTCTGACTGATCTCAACGAATTTTGGAATTATGAAAACAGAGAATGTACCTAATTTGTTTAATAATTTTGAAACAGATGTCGCGATATTTAATAAATTATTATTTTATCACTTTTAACTATTTCATCGATTGAATCTTACCAAAAATATTAATTTTATTTTTTTATTAATCCCACATGATGTGGTGTTGAGAAAAGAGTGGTAGTATGAGGCAAGTAGTAGTAAACATGACCTCTTGTACTGCACATGCAGAATTCACTTTAAGAAGAAGATGTGGAATTGGGAGTACTGTGGTTATTCATAGTTATGAATTTATTTAATTCAGAAAATTTATAATTTTCTCAGTTTAAGATTTTAAGGTATGTCTGCCATCTCACAGGTTTATGAGTAAGTGTTTTAAAAAGTGGGTTTGTAACGTATTTAAGGCTATCAAAGAATTTGATATGCCTGACCAAGACCAAGACCAGGACTGGTAAAAAAATCGATTTTTTAAAATAAAAAATAAAGCAAAATAGTTACTAATACTTGACAATCTTAGTTACTATGTGTTAATAATTGGTATAACCAATATACTTTTGCATTTAACTCCTCTGAGTTTTTCATTCGGGCTTAGTTAGGTTTCTCCTATCAAAAAAATCACAGTAATATCTCTATAGTATAAGCTAATAAGTAACTGCAAGACTGTTGCGAGATTCTTGTGCAAGACCAAGACCATGACCAAGACTGAGTTTGCAAGACCAAGACTCGTCTCGGTCTCGCATTAGGACAACACTAGATAGTAGTATGTAGTAGGTCTGTACGTGTTTTTTGTAAAGTCGTGTGTTGCATTATTTTTCTCAGCACACCATTCTCAAGCTGTTGAAGCTTCTTCACTGTTAGTTAGTTAGTCGATATGTTAGTTAGAAGAGGTGCTCCATAAAGGAGTCCCGGTCTTAGAATACTCTTGTAAATTGTTAATTTGAGGCGGAGAGATAAGTGAGGAGAAGAAAATAGGTGGTTGAACCTGTATGCCTTGGTCCCAAGCAATTTTAATTTGTTGTAACTGTGGCAAGCCAGTGTTAGGTGCCTATCGAGGGTAACACCTAGATATACTATACTGCTCGCCGGTCTGTTCTCGCTACCCGCTACCTTATAGACCTTAGGGAGAGGGCGCTTGTTCTTTTGAAAGGAGAAAATAATGCAGTCTGTCTTCTTTTGATTGACTGCAATATTTAGCCCTTTCAGTTTGTTACTGATTTTTTCATAGGCCTCCTCCGCCTGCCGTAGAGCTGTCTCTGAGCTGATTGAGCTACTGTAGGTAGCAATTTCATTGGCGTATGTAGCTACAGTTGCTTCCTTATACTTTACTCCAACAGTTTCAGCTGTGTAAATTGAAAATAGTACTGGGAATAGCACAGACCCTTGGGAGATTCCGCAGGTGAGTGGGATGTTTCTGGAAACAGCTTCGCCGACTGTTGTTGTAGAAACGACCACAAGACTGTAAAGAGCTGCTCCGGAAACTCGTTATCCAAGAATGTCTTACATAAAAGACCATGGAACACTGAGTCAATAGATGCCATTGCGGTAGCTTCATTCTTGACTGTGTTCTGGCTTACTTTCGCCTGTAGCTTCGCCAAATGGTGATCCGGACATAGGGTGGAAGTAAGAAAACTAGTCTGGCGGCTTTCAATAGCGGTAAGAGGATAACTTGTTTCCAAGCATTCCACGTACGTTAAACAAAACATAAAGTAATGAAATAAATATTATCCTTCTTTATTGGTATATGCAAAATCTTACTATTAACATAACTTCCTTAGAGCATTATTATAGTGTTATTATAGCACTATTATTATAGCATTATTATAGTGCAAAGTGTGTATCCGTTCGTAATGGCCATCTGGGTACAAGTAGACAAAAGCTTCTTTGAGAATTAAAATTGAAACAGTAATTAAATTTACTTAGGCCAATGATAAAATGGACTTTCAGGAGGTCCAATTTAGCCGCTGTACAGAGATATGCTAATCCTACATGGGTACTGTAACTGGATCTGTACAATGCTGTATTAAACCTCCTGAGAGTCATTTTTATCATTAATCTTAGTAAATTTTGAGTCCCTGTTATTTATCTTTCTTGGCCATTAAGAACTGAGATACCCTGTATACTGATAATAAAATAATAATAGATGAGTGTATTTAGACTTTGTATTAATTCTACATTAGATCATTAATTTCGAAACACAATGAACGACATTATTGTTGTCTATTAAATTGCGTCGATTATTATATTTAATTATTTCTCTAGCCATAATTTTTATTAATATTCATGATTCATATATTTATTAAATAGAAAGGTGGAGATAAAGAACCTTGATGGGTATTGAGGCTTTAAAAAAAAAAAAAAAAAAAAAGATGCAGCTGAAGTAGTATTATTTTTTAATTATTTTATTTATATAGAAAAGTCTAATAAATATCAATTCGGTTCTTTTGTTAAATTGTTACGACCTTCTTTATGTTTGTGGGGAGGACAGTAGACAAAATAAAACTTTATCAATTCTAGAAGGAGTTTATTAAATAGGGGGCTATCAAAGTGGTCATAATCGTGATTAATATTAGCTTCGGTGTCCTGATAAAGTATCATGAGAAGCACCTTCTAAAATATTACCTCCTCTTATTGCTCTTTTATCTAAGCTGTCTCATCAAATTACTGTCCTAAGAAGTAATTTTATAAAATATAAATGGTGAAAACAATTATGAATACTAACACTAAAAGTTTCTATATATTTTAGGTGGTAATGGTTATTTCACATAGTCATTGTCCAATGAAGCATTATTACCCACCCTTTTTGAATAACCTCACGATGACTTTTGATCACTCGAAGGTCATTCAAAGTTGGAAGAAGCAAAAACAATTAGTTTTTTAAATGATAAAACCATATATTCGTGAAAAGGTAACGTTTAAATACTCCCTAAGGGATTAAAATACTCTAATAACATCAAATATTTAGTGTAGCTGTATATCGCCCACACGGGGTAGTCTAAGGCCATCCAAAAACACAGTTTAAATTGAATCAGCAATTAATACTTGAAACGATCCTGTTTTAAAATTTAAATGGAAATAGATGTACGCATTTTAAAAAAAAAATGTATGTGCGCCTGTCAACTTATTGTTAAAAATCAGCAAATGTGATGGCGAAACATGAAATAATGAATGACATGACAGGCACGTATAGTGCACATTATAAAAAAACATTAAATTAAATATAAAAATAATTCACAAAACTAAATCGTATGTTAAGAAGCTTGTTGATAATATTTGAAGTTGAATATCCGATCAGTACATAGATTGGTGACTATTCCTCGAGAAGAAATTCAGAAAATAAACTGCATTAAATAAAAGGTAGGATTTAAATTGAAGTTATCAGAAATTCACGAGGAAATTTTGTTGTAAGGAATCATATGTAAACGATTAAAAATAAATAAAATGCTGTGAGATATTAAGGTTTCCATTGTGAGAATAGCTATTATTCAGGAACCTCTTTCATTTCTTGGCTTTGGATGGAATAATCAATGGATATCTTTCAAAGGAAATTATGTTTTTGCTAAAATTTTTAATAATGTGAATAATATTTATTATGACTATTACATATTGTCATATATTTTTTTTATTTATTACTTATTGTACGATTTAGTGAAGAAGAAAATCTAAAATATCATCATTATTTTAACTATTAAAAACAAATTGTTTGTTTGTTAAAATATAGTACTATTAATAGCATTTCCTCTGAAATATTTTATATGCCGAACATTATTTTTATGTGATCGATCTTATTTATTTATTCATATTTTTTAAAAATACATACTTCTTTTTTGTTAGAATGTCATTTGACAAAGTTTGAGGATAACTGCATATCTCAATCATTTATCTTCATTATAATTTTAACAGTCAACTATTTCTTCATCTCTATATTGTAAGTTTGTGATATTCTAATATTCTAGTTCACAATTTTTTTTTCATATTATTTTTCTAATCATTATAATTTATATTTTTGGTTATTTGTTTCTTTACATTATGTTTTTATTTTTTTGGTTAACAAAAAAAAAAAAAATAATTTTCATTTAATGTTTAGTCCTTCCTCAAATTTCTTTTTTAGTTTGGAACATTGTATAGTCACATTAGAATAATTGAATAATATAGGTATATTAATGCATATCTGAAGATTTTTTCCATCATATTTTATGTTTCATAAAATGCATATTTCCTTGCATATTAAACAGTTTTCTACTGCACATTTTTGTAAGTATTACCCCATAATGATCAGTCTTTGCATCTAATTGGGGAAAAACACAAATTTCTTTAGCTGTCTTCCTCTCCAGAAAGATTTTGGATACGAGTTTCTTGAAGATGAAACTCATCTTGCTATTCAATCCATGACCAGCTCGATAAGTCTGTTAATCAAGGGACGCGGTTCACAAATAGCATACACACGATCCCATTTACTTTTTTCGATACCATCCTTACACTAACATTTTCCTGCCTTCAGGAGTTCCTCAGAATACTGATGGTTACATATACTCATTGGTCAGATGGGGGAGAAAAGGATACATCAGTGCTTGAAATGGAAAAAAAAACTTTGATTTTTTAAAAGTTTCAGTACCTTTTATTCTTAGCTTTTTTAACTTAACTTTTATTCTTGATACTTTTTTCAGTTCTTTTGGAATTAGAACTTTTTCCATTGCGGCTTTTTCAGTAAAAGTTTTATCACCTTTTATTTTAAACTTGCATTAAAATTTCTGCCGATTTCGCTTAAAAGTCGATCTAAAAATGATTTTTTATTCTAAGCTACTCAAACAAACGACAAACATGTGTAATTAATTTAAGACAAATTGAAATTCGTACTTAAGCCCAATTACCGTCTAAATGTCATATAACGGAATATTTTTTAAGAAATTAATTTAACAAAAGTTAAAATTTGACAGTAAATCCAGAATTTTAATAAAGAAATAATTTCTTAGAATTTTTATTATAAAACGTTTTCCCTAAAAAGTTTCACAGGAACTGTTAAAATGGAACTTTTTAAAGAAGTTCCATAAAATTTTCAATCTCTGGGATACACTGATGTCTGATGAAGTTTGATGTG